CTGAATCTCAATTGTCCAAAATCATCAAGTGACTGAACTGTTGGAAACCATCTTGACATCACTTGGTGACGACTTGGTGGTCAGTACTTTGGATACAACTGTTGGAAGACATCCCTCCTCCAGTGCCTTCGCTTCAACAGATTTCTCCTGTCAGGTGGTGGAGCTGATCGACAGCACCGGGGGGCATCGACATCCCGCGGCCGAGCACCACCAACGCGGGAAACAAGACGCCGGTGACCGGCACGGCTCCGCGAGCCGCCGTGTTGGGACTGTGCAGCTGGGTGCTTCTGCTGATGTGGTGAGCGAGCTGGGACGTGAAGAGAGGCGATTGTTCAGGGTGGCTCTCCAGGTAGTTAAGGGCGAAGTCGGATGAATGAAGCGCGCCTTGTTGCTTTTACATGATTTTACGTGCCTTTTTTATGTACTGCATGTGTCATAAAATTTGTGTGTTGAGACCTTCTTTCATGGCCCTTGGGGGATGCCACCCTGTGACCGTGGCGGAGATTGGCGGAGTCAGATAGGCAGATGTGCAGAGAGGGTCGAAGGCTGCTTTATGGGGGACCCTTCTTGGACATATATTGAGAGTCTTGGATTGGTATAGGTTGCAAACTTTTGACAGAAGCAGTACTAACAGTACGCTCAAATCCAAGGAATACTTGTGAAACGGTTCAACAGACGCTATATTTAAGTTTCTATCAATGCTCTTGTTAACAGTGTGGAAACCGTCAAGATGTAACCCTTTGGATTTTATCATCCCGGGTGCAGGTTGGGTGGAGGGCAAGAATCCAAGTTGCAATCAGAGAAATTCAGCCATTTTGCGCAGAAACACATTGAATTTTAAATGTTCCCCACAGATTAAAGGATGGTACAGGCATGGGGTCGTCATACACCTTGCATCTCTTGCGTTTTGTACCATCCATGATTATATATCCATTCCACATAAAGATTTGTCTTCCCAACTAGCTTCTGAGCAGACCCTGTCTGTGCATGTTGAGGAAGCAGTTAGAGCACATGGGAATTCGCGAACCGCAGGCGCTAATGAGCCGTTTCACAGCCAGATGCCGTGGTCATCATTGTTTGATGTTTAGTTTATAATGTATGATCCCTCTAGGGTGGATGAAGGAGAGATTCTGTCTTGCGGTGGTGCATGAGATGACAAACATTGGATCAAATTGCTCGATGCGTTTGTCATGTGCAAAAGACTAGTAAATTTACCGACCCCCCTTCAGAGGAATGTCCATTCCAATAAAACATGCACCGATGTATCCTCCAACAAACCAAAAACCTCCACTTGTTCCGGGTTACAACGAATGCTTGTGAATTGGAACCCGCCCGCATCCCCTCATGTCCACCCATTTGGCACACATGCAGATCTATCTCCATGAATACCTCGGCCCTGGCGCAGAAAAAGAGCCACGCAGCACGCCCGTGGATGTGGCGGGTGAAGCCCGCCACACGATGCGGCGAGATTCGCACGGGACCATCGAGTGACCTTTGGAGTCTGAGAAGATGGGTGTCCCTATGGAGATGTGTTATTTTTTTCTATCTGGATTTCCATAATGTTTTCCCATGTTTTCCCTATATATGGAGAGTGTATAGGGATTCCTTCCTCCTTATGAGAGAGTTGTGTTGCAAGAGTTTGTTGTGTTGTTTTTCTCACCCAATGGATTTCTATATATACTTTCCCTATATGTGGAGAGCATAGGGATTGGTTATGGAGAGTGAGCATTCATGGGAATTCTACTAGATGTGTGGAGCATCTGATGGGTTCTTGGTATGGCAGCATCTGATGGGTTCGTTCCTTCGACAAATGATATGTTTGCTCTTCTGATTCGACTCGAAGCGGCTTCCTGTGACTCATCAGTTGTTTTTTCAACCTCGGTGATAGTTGTCAACAACACTATTCAACCGTAACCTTTATATAGTTGGAATGATTGAGAACCCGCCGACGCCGACTAGTACTTTAATCGAGTGAGTTGACACCACCAACCACTTCTATTCATTCATGTCATGATAGCTTTTGTAAAGGAGGTGAACAGTTTGCCAACCACCAGGAAACTGGCTCCGCAAAACTGATCAGACAGGTGCTTTCTCCGATTCGAGACGATCAACATTTATAAAGAGTTTCCAAGTCTGGATGACTTTTGGTGGCTGGCTTTGGTTTGAGACACAAAGGCTGAGTTAACGAACACAACAATTGTTCAACAATTACTGCGTAAGTGCTATAACGTTTATCAAGTGGATGTGCTGCGACTCAATTCATTGAAGAAAGATGACACATAGCACACAGATGATGAATATGACAACCACCCTTCAACAAACAAACTGCTCTTGGACTCCAGGTCTCGTGAAGTAGCTAGGCCAAAAAACCTCTCTCCGCGCTGCAGCGGCGATCGCCCGCAAAGTCTTCGGCCGACGCCGCTGGAAGCACCGAGCCAAACCCCCAGAGTGAAGAAAGACGCGTGTGGTGTGCCCGGCAGGTATGGCGGGGATGGAGAGATGTCCAGTTCATTGAATGCCTATATAATGTATATCTCAGCAGAAGCATGGATTCTTGAGCATTGATTGGTCTATCAGCTTTGACGGTGCTTGTCCTCGTAGAAGGGTCAACCTCTTACTGTTCAATCCTCCTAACAATACCTGACAATGATTCTTGGTATGAATCATGAAGGTAGTGGCGGTTAAAAAAATAGAACTAACATCTCGTCCAGTCTCCGAACAATATCTATGTGGCAAATACTGCAGGTGGTGGGTGCCACAAAGTTGGCTGCGACACTAGAAGGATCGGACGTTGGTTTTGGGCTCAGCCTGGTGCATCGAACTGATGTAGCTAGCCATTTGGGCCCGGTGACGCAAGCAGTTTCTGCCGAGCTCGGCCGCTTGGATTGGAATTGCGGGTGGAAAGGTGGGTTGATTCACTCGGGTTTGGTTGGGCTCGGAAGTGGGCATTCTTGCTGTAATAAGCTACCTGTGTCGATGCACCAGGGGCTCAGAGACACATGTGGAATACAGAAACATATCTTATAGGACAGGCTTTGATGTGTTAGTCCAACCGAACTCAGAAAGAACCAAACAGACTGAAACCGCACATGTCACATGCATTCTGCAGCTACGACTGGAACATAGCTACATTATATGTTCGATTTGTTTCAGCTGGTTGTGACCCACTGTGGAGCTGCGGTCACGGAGCCTTGGCCACGGAGCTTCTTTCAGCCTTTCCAAGCACTGCATTCTTGTGAAGTCTCTCTCTCTCTCTCACTCATTGCCCCAATGCAAGCGCGTGTTTGATCATGATAGTCTATACTATATAGTAATCTATAGTATTTTATAGTACTGGTGTTATTGTTGCCCTTAGTAAAGACATGTAAAGACTAACATCGAAAACAATAAGGTGTCGTTAGAACTGTTCAGCAAGCTAAACACGCTTGAGCGGTCCAGTTTCTTGAATATTCCCCCGGGTCAATGGCCTGATGTGTCTGGTGTTGTTTTGCAAGAAACAATCCTGTTTTTGAAAATTGTTGTCACACTACACACATCAAAGCAAGTGACAGAGCTTTTTACAAATGGATCTGCGTGCATGTGGGTTCAGAAGAGTGTGTAAAACAACTCATATGAGAAACCGGAGCCCATTTGGCGTGCCTTTCCGCTACAAGAAGTCTTGATTGACCCAGCTGCGCCATGGTTTCTCTTTTTAAGCGCGTCACCCTTCCCAGCCACCCCTGGTCCTCTTGCTTTGGCAGGTCACCCACCCCCCCAAAATGGAAACCCCAATAACCTCAGCGCAGCTGCTGAGTTTCGGAACGCCCTCCATGCCATGCGAGCTTTCCCAGGCACTGATCTCGAACGATGCCCGGCTGCCTGGCGCAGTGGACAGGGAATGCTTATTTCAACGGCCCATTGGTGGATCACTTTGAGGCCACCTTTTGATTGGCAGTGAACGGTCTCATTGAAGTGTTCCACAACATGTTGTTCACGTTTGAGTTTTCGAGTGCTCCTTCACTTACTTACAGGAATTGTATCTCGCACCAGGGTATTAGCCAATGGGTCAATAGTTGGTGTATATCTGCAAGTGGGTGAGCCACGGCTAAATTGGGCTTGGGCACCTGCTCCCACAGGTGATTCCAAGTGAAGATCTGTCTGAAGACCTTGGGAAGGTTCCGGCACCTCGGGATGTTTCCGAAACTTGCGACCAGCTGCAAGGTGACGTAGACGACCACATTTGAGTCGCACGAGCGTGAAGCTGATGGAACAGAGTCTCGAAGGTCTGTCTTAGGCGAAACCGCAGGGGTGAAAATGGTAGGTGGAAACCAACTGAAACCATGTGTTCAAAGGCCTCCTGCAACAACGTTAGATTAGGGAGAATGGGCTGAAAGGTCTCCGTCTATAGCCTAGCCCTGTTACGTTGTAGTTGTGGTTCTTGGATGCGGAGCGCCGGTTCTCGCCATTGGTTCGGAAACCTTTGCAGCACTTTCAGGGTGGTGAGAATGATGTCTTCACGGAAGACTACCTTGAGGCCTCGGATTTACGTGCTCGTGCTCGTGCTCTCTTGTGTGCGTGTGCGATATTTTGTCATAGAAACGTATGGAAGAATGCGGATAATGCGGGTTTGTGGTGTGCTTTTGGATTTTCTTGTTTGGTAGGGAGTCTAAAGGGATTTGGTTTCTCGATGATTTTTGTTGATAGCAACGCATGTGGCAATGTGTTGATTGAACGAGTAATTCGGGCTTTGCAAGGGATCACTCATGCAACTTCTGGCTGTGCATGTTCCACTGCCTGCTGCAAGGTTGATAAAGGCCACTCTAGGGCCAACTGGACGACGAACATGAGAATTGGGTAGGATTGGCATGAATATATTTCCCAAAAATGTCAAGTCCATCTTATAAATCATTTGAAGTTCAATGTCTTCCACATTCTCCAGACGTGCTCGGAGACAATGAATCGAGACGTTTTAATGTTGTTGCTTCCATTTGTATCATTTGAACCAGCAAGCAGCTGGTGCCATGGCTGCTTCTTTTGCCGATCTTCCCACGCAAGCGCTGTGGCCTTCGCACATGGCCCGCATGGTTGACAAGCTGCCAATGCAGCAGCTGAGTCAGCTCCACAGGGTTTGCAGGCGCGGGTCCTAAGCCATTAATTGACTTCTCTGCGTTTCAAATGCCTGGTCTCCATGTCCTTTTACTCGCATTCTTGGTCGAGTCAACGCTTTTTACCCAAATGGGTCGCGGCTCTAAAGTTGCCAGGAGGCTGTTGTTGTGTGTTGTGATTTTGTCTGATGACGAACAAATCTAAAATATCAATTATTATGCCATTATGAAATGTATATATATATATAAGCTGGCTAGTCCCCAAACTCTCCTATCGCTTGGGACACCGTCTTCATCCTGCATTCACGAGTCCATTGTTTGTCCTGCTTTGCCAGGTCACTCAATCAGGCATGCAACAAGCTATTCCAACAAAGATCTCGAGAAATTCAAGAGATTTTCGTGGAGATCGCCAGCCACCTTCGGTGGATGTTGACCGGACTTCTGGAACAATTGCAGGAAGACGAAGCGGAGAACAAGGCACAAGAAGTCTGGGAACTGATGTTTTGGGTTCGGGACCAAGCCAAAGGTATTCTGGAGCTCCTGGAAGTGACTCGAGACAATTATTTGGGCACCGAAGTGGTCGATGGAGGCATCTTGCAGATTTACATAGCATGCAAGACAGAGCAGAGCTGGAAGCCGTCAGAGATATCCGATTCTGCCGAAACTTTCATGTGGAAGCTGCGTGTACCTTCACCCATGCCACTCGACAAGTGGAGAATCTCCTGCAACTGTTCTTGCGGACAAGACTTGGCTCGGGCAGCTGGGCGGCAGTTCAGAAAACCTTTTCATGTTTGTTGCTAGGGAAACAAATAGCAACATTATGTAACATTGCTCTTATATCATCAATATTGACTTGTTTGGAGTCCGGAGACTTGTTTCTTTTTATCCGATAATCTATTCTTGCTTTCTTGACTGCTTCAGTTGTTTTTCAGGTCTAGTACATTCTTCATCCATTATCCTGCACCCGCCCATGCATCCTCCTTCCATAACAGAATCAGCTTCTTCTGTGACTGGTGAGACTCGAAGCAGAACTCGGCCCTCTCAGCCGCCCAATTTCCCAGGGACCATCACAGAGGACACAGGGGGTGCGGGTCCAGAAGACTCGGCGCTGCCGGAGTCGATGCCCGGTGGAGCTGACTTGGCGGAGCTGCAAGAGCTTGAGCACGAGCTGCTTGAGGCAAGAGCTCGGCAGCCCGGGGACAGCCAGGAACTGGCACTCATCTTGGCCAGACTCGGTCAGGCGAAAATGCGTCAAGGTCATCATGCGGAAGCCATTGAGCATCTGAAAGAGTCTTTGCAACTGCAGCGGTCATTGGATAGTTCCACTGAACTGCCCTGGGTTCTGAGTAAGTTTATCTTCTGTTGCATCCCGTTGGCATTGCTTTCCCAGCGCCGGTCAGCTTTCCCGTCCTTGAATGCAGCCACTCTGCATCAGCTTGGCCAAGCGAAAGCTCAGACTGGAGACCTGAAAGAGGCCCTGCGATACCTGAAAGAGTCTTTGCGAATGAAGCGGTCTTTGCACGGTGACGGTGACCACCCAGGAGTTGCAGCCACTTTGCATGAGCTTGGCGATGTGACCGCTCAGACTGGAGACCTGAAAGAGGCCCTGCATTACCTCAAAGAGTCTCTGCGAATGAAGCGGTCCTTGCACGGTGACGGTGACCACCCAGACATTGCAGTCATTTTGCATGAGATTGGCCGAGTGACCGCTCAGACTGGAGACCTGAAAGAGGCCCTGCGG